ATAAAATTGCATGCCTTAAGAAAAGTCTGAACTTTGCAATAACGCCATATAAACAACCTACAACTGATATATAAATAGCATTTGAAGAAATAAGTAAAAAAATAAATTTGAAAGTGAATCAAATTGAAAAGAACAAAAAAAATCAAATAATCAACAAACCGACTTGTTTTAAAAAAAGATTCATACACCCAAGACAATAGCAACCCTCCTTTCTAAGTTCTACAGGTTACTAGAGGTGTACCTCCCCCCAAAAAAAATCAAAAACGGATTCCATCAAAGAAATTCTTGAAAAATTCTCCACCAGATCAAAAAAGAATCTTAAACACTCATTGTAAAATAAAACTAAACTTATCCAAAACAGAAAACGTTGAATTAGCAGATATACGTAATATCTCCAAACTAACCATCAAAAACGCGGACAAAGATCAAAACATTGTTTTACTCATTCAAATTGCCATTTTATGTTTTGGATTGAGTTTTGTTATAAAGGGTGTTTTTGATGACGTAATGCTGGAATAATCCAGATCAGATATTTGCCAAGATTATAATTACAGGAAAAATATGTTGTCATTATGACAACAGTGGTTTTATGAATTTTCGACAGTCCGTAGATTTCAGGAGTTCTAACATTGTAATCAGTTTCTGAGCTCAGAGGCTATCCAGCCTTTTCTTTCAGAAGTTAGGTCATTGTTTTTCGTATAGACTGTTGAAGTTTTCACTCACTTTAAAGTATTTCTTGGAGTAAAGTCTTACACTGCTAAATTAGGGACGGCTAGCGCAGATAGCCCTCGTGTCCAAACCAAACTATAATTAATTTAAAATACAATAAAATAAACTTTTAGAGAAGACAAGTTCTTATTTTAATAATTTACAATGTTTCGGCCCATAATAAAGGTATTGTTTTGAGTTTGTTACTTTTCTATGAATTTTAGTCTCAAATCCTGATTGTTTTCTTATTATGTGGACATTAAGAAAGTTTAAGAATGATTTTTTTTTTTTTTCATTTGTAAAATGAGTGTTGCGATGTACATAGGTTCAAGAAGTCTTGATAGAAATGAATTAAAATTCTATAACCCTGCATCCTGCGCCGTAACCCGGCTTTTGGTTCATCCCACAGCGCCAGTTCTGCTTACCAAAAATAGCCCACTTCAAAACGTCCAGGATTAACCAAAAGCCGGGTTACGGCGCTGGATGCAGGATTATAGGGTTTTAATTCATTTATTTTTCTTCGTCAGAATTGAAACCACGGAAAACATCGTGGATATATATCAACCAATATAAGGACTTTGGTATGGCTATGTTTAAGTTGAACTTAACATTTATTTGCTAGTACAGTTGATAGTTTGTGTCCCGCCCATACAGACGCCGTCGATTTGACAATAGGTGATGCAATTTACTTTAAAACAGAACTTCGTGATGAGGTTAAACGAGGTTAGGAGATTTAATTGGGATGTGAACTTCTTGTATTTCGGGATTTTGATAATTAGTTCAATGGCAAGATTGTGAGCTTCTTGTTTTGAATTTGGATATATAGAGATAAAGATTTTGCCCATTATATGTTTTGGATTAAAAAGGGAAAGCAGTTAGTCATCACCACCCACCGCCGACTCTTGAGCTACTCTTTTTCCAACGAATAGTGGGATTGTTCCATTATCTAACGGCTGAAAGGGCGAGCATGACAGGGATTCGAACCCGCGATCCTCAGATTGCGAGTCGAGCGCCCTAACCAACTGGCCATGCCGGGCCAACTTAATTATAATGGATTAAATAAAATGTTTTAATATATCCTTACTTGTGTAGGATGAAAAAAATGGATTAAATAAAATGTTTTAATATATCCTTACGTATGTAGGATGAAAAAAAATGGATTAAATAAAATGTTTAATATATCCTTACTTAGTGTAGGATGAAAAAAAATGGATTAAATAAAATGTTTCAATATATCTTTATGTATGTAGGATGAAAAAACTGGATTAAACAGAATCTTTAAATTCTTTCGATAGATTGACTGTGAAGTATTTGCCTTTTATTCAGTTTTTAGAATTAAATCAATCCTTTTTCGTCTGTCAATTGCAATTTGAACGAGGTTTTGAATCAGGAATGTTTTTTTTTTGTCATCAAATAAAATTACATCGAATTCATATGCCTACGTCCAGGCTAAAGAACTCTTATATAACACGTTTTGTCTAGAATTACGAAATCATTCATAACACTATTTTGGCAGAGGCACCTGGTCCGCCATTCAACATATCCGTAACCAATGTGACGGGAAGAACAATATCGCTGCTATGGACGGAACCATACACTGGAAATAGTGACATCTCTCGTTACTTAATTAAATATCAGAAGGAACTTTCTGGTAGGTGTTTAGTGTTCTTGGAGTTATCTCGTTATAAATCTGCTTATTCTTTATTTGTTTATTTGTATCTATCTACTCACTTATTCTCTTTCTAATAATATTCAGCGGCACGTCTGAAGACACATAACACTAAAAACCGGGTTTCGATACCCGTGGTGGACACAGCATTGATCGCTTATTGTGTTGCTTTGCGCTTAACAACAACAAACAAACAATCTAACATAATGGCAGGGTTATGTTGGTAGTCAATATAATGACTTGTTTTTCTCCCAATACACTGTAAGAAAATAACTTCGATCTCAAAGTGTGACGTTTTATCCATTCATATATTTTTTTAAATACCGCAATAGGTGTGCAAGTTACTGTTATTTACTTTTTTTTTGTCAGTTTAAGGCTTTTCTCAGGAATTTGTTTTTAAATGAGAATTGTTTAAGAAACATGATTTATACAACAAACAATTCAAATTCCACGACAATGTTTAATTCGCGTAAATGCCCTATTATTTCTCCTATAACAAATTGAAAAATATGATATGATTGCTTATAATGTACGAAAATTCGTGTACCTGGGAACTTAGAATTGCTTCATAACCCATTTTAGTATTATATCATTCAGTATTAATGAATTTCTATTCCCTTACATTGCTTGCTGCTACTTCTTATGTTTAAGCAAATATATGTTTTAACTAACATTGTTTATAAATACACACAGTTTACTAGCAGCAAATGTTAACCTTTCAAATAGATTTTGCGGTCATTATTTACTTGTGTTTGCAAGTACATTATGCTAACATAGTAATCAATTGGCAAACAACGATTTGTAAGCGTAATGAAGTAATATTATTTTGAGGAACGTGTTACATGTTTTACATTATTACTGGTGTGATTTTTAATCTTTATCGCTGTTATCATCACCGGTACCATTATCATCGAAGCATTAGTATCGATACCATTTATTCGTGGATTCAACTTTTAACAAAGCAACTGTTTTTTTTCATCCTACATACGTAAGGATATATTAAAACATTCTATTTAATCTATTTTTTTCATCCTACATACGTAAGGATATATTGAAACATTTTATTTAATCCATTTTTTTTCATCCTACATACGTAAGGATATATTG